GGAGAGTCCCAATTTTAGTTCTTCATTTGTATTGATTTGGTGTTCTAATTGCCCTTTAGACTATGGAAGGTGAAATAGTCGAAGTTCCCACTGGCAATCACTAAGGAAAGTTTTTGAATTGGGTTTCTTCTTGGGCTCACTCCTGTCTCACTGAACAGCTATTCCACCAAAGTTCAGTAACACAAATGTAAATAAGAGTCTTTTCAATAAGATACTGGATCAAGGAGAAATTTCTTGGAGTGAGGTTTTTTGGGGTTCCATACCCAAAAAAACTGAATGCTCTGTCATTGAATATCTTGAAGATTGAAATTGATAAGGTGTTTTTGATAATCATAGAATCCCTACAGTGTGGAAACAGGCCCTTTGGCCCAACAAGTCCACACTGACCCTTGAAGCATCCCACCCAGACCCATTTAACCCACCTAACCCTGAACACTATGGACAATTTAGCATGGCCAATCCACCTAACCTGCACATCTTTGGACTGTGGGAGGAAACCAGAGCACCTGGAGGAAACCCACGCAGACACAGGGAGAATATGCAAACTCCACACAGATAGTCGCCCGAGGGTGGAATTGAACCCGCGTCCGTGGTGCTGTGAGGCAGCAGTGCTAACCACTGAGCCACTGTGCCGCCCCAAATAATGTGGATGAGGATAGTATGAAAAGGCGAAGTTGATGCTGATCGTTATTGATGATCTTACCTAATTGTGGAGATGGTACAAAGGATTGTGTAGTCTATTGCTGCTCCTGTTTCTCAAGTTCTTAGAACAGAATAATACTGTGATCAATAGCACAGGGTTCATATCTACTTTAAGAGAAAGGGAAAATATTCTCTACTCCCAGGCCATCTACTACTAATGAAATGTTTTTATTCAGAAGAAGAATTAATTTTCAACATTAACAAATCAGTTTTAATAAAAGTGAACATTATTTTTTCTTTTAGAAAACAGAGACTCAATGCCCCATTCATTATTTTAGAATTTAGGAGAGTGGGGGAGTAGTGGGATAGTGAGTTCAAAATGAGTGCAGATTTTTTTTGTGGCCTTGCATCATAAAATGATGCAGACTTCTATTTGTGGTACTGAGTTGTCAGCTGTTGCATCTTTTTCCAGGATGACTTGAGGTCTTCATGTTTAGTGATTTTACTTTGTTTCCAGGATCTATTGAATGAAGCCAGGCAGAGACTGGGCAGAGTGACAAAAGATCCTACAAGATACCAAACACTGTTGGATGGACTTATACTGCAGGTAAGGGTGGGGTAATATTGTAAATATGCTGAATGATAGAACTGTACATACACTGCTGTTGAGATTAGAAACTAACTCCCATGTAGATATTGATTAGTAATAATACTAAATTCCATGTTGAAACTTTTTCTGGTTTAAGGTTCTTGCGAAGATTTGTAGCTTGGGTTGTGGATGCAGTTATTGGCTTGCTCGCCGAGCTGGCTGGTTATCGTACAGACGTTTTGTCACCATGCTAGGTTACATCAACCTAGCCTGATGTTACCTAACATGGTGATAAAATGTCTGTGCGATAACCAGCCAACTCAGCGAGCAAGCCAACAACCGCACTTCTGGTTGCTGTTAAGGTAAGGAGTAGGCAGGGTGGTGATTGTTTCACACCTTGCCCAGAATGAATTTGCCATATCCTTTGTGTAATTCTTGATTGGCAAGACAAGTTTCTTACAAGGCAGCAGCAAGTTGCCAGTTAAGAGTAGTAGAGCATGTTAAAAGCCTTTGATAATGACTTAAAAGGTCAGCGCATAGCAGGCTACAAACCAAGTGCAGGTAAATGGATTGGTTTAAAAAAAAGTGCAGGTAAAAAGATCTTTGGACAGCAGTTTCCAAACCCACGACCACTTCCATGTAGTAGGACAAGGGCAGCAGATACGTCGGAAAGTAAAGGTGGTCGGATTCCCCTCCAAGCTATTTGCCATCCTGATTTGCAAATATATCGCCGTTCTTTCACTTGCTGGGTCAACATCCTGGAAATTCCTCTCTAATGGCATTGCGGGTCAACCCACAGCAGGTGGACTGCAGCAGTTCAAGAAGGCAACTCACCACCATTTTAAAGGGCAACTAGGGATGGGCAATAAATGTTGGCCAGCCAGCAATGCCCACGTGCCACAAATGAATAAAAAGTTGGATTAATGTAGCTAGTTGTTTGTTGCTCGATGTAAACATAGTGGCCCAAAGGGCCGGTTTCTATGCTGTATGATTGTATGATAGCAGGTCACAAGTTAGGAATCCTGCAGCACCTCCTGCCTCCCAAAGTCTGTTCTTCATCTATAAGGTGCAATAGTGGGTTTTCATTGAGCACAGAACTAAATATTTTATAAATGCCCTAATTTCCTTCAGTTTGTGGAGTACTCTTAAAATATGCTGTTTACATGGTTAAAACTGCCTATGACTGTATTTTCTGTTTTGTTGAATTCCTATTTTATGTTGCAGTATAAAAACTGTGACACAATAAATTGATTTTTTTTCTTCCCCTCCTCCCAATTTTAGGGCTTTTACCAACTGCTGGAACCTATAGTGATTATTCGATGCCGCAAGCAAGACACTGCTGTAGTTAAGGTAATGGATTTTAAGTTCCAGACGACTGTTTTTAAGTGAACGTTTTTACAATATTAGTGAACTTAGAATGGGTTCATGCAAGTGTTTTTTCCTAATATCCCACGTAGAATCATGCCCGCTGTATGAAGTGAAGGTGGCTGTGCACACAGGGCGTGTTAAGGCTAGAGGTAAATTAAGAAGAAAGGTTACCTCATTGTCCATTCAGCCTCAGTTGGCTGAATAATGGAAGTGCAAAGAGAATGGAGCATGGGTTTGTCACTCTGAAGATAAGGATTGGTTAGTATGGTCTCTTAAATCAAATCCACTGCTGGAGTGGCCACGTGAATGAGCAGCTCCTCTGTATACAAGATATTGGATATAACTTTGTTTTACAACAGAATACTTTGTTAGTAACTGTTCTATTTTTGATGTGGAAATTTTTTTTTCTCTCCCCACATCACCTCCCTGAGAAAAAAACTTTCTCCAACATGTCGCCTACAGCTTTTAGAATCTTTGACAGCAAGATTCACTGTGACCAAGAATTCTTTTTAAATCTGCCCTTCTACAGCTGTAATTCTGAGAAGCTTAGTATCTCTATGTATGTTAACTTCTGATTCACTGAGCAATGTGATGGGTAATCATGCCTTTTTGTTTTAGAAAGTCTTGAATACATTTCTTATCTTGCCTCTCAATTCACAAGAAATTTTTAATGTGCATATTGCCCACTTCTTGAGCCTCACTTCTTCCTCCTCTTGCTTCTTGAAAGCAGTTAAATTCTAGTCAGAGATTGCTTTCTTATTAGTTAGACTGTTTATGGTGAAATTCTTGCATATTGAGTCTCCAATGTTACTCTGATAAATAAGGAACTATTTTTAATCAATGGACCATTATACAAAGTAAAGCATTTGTACAGCAAAAGTGCATATGTGTATAACTTTCTTAAACCTGGAACTTACAATTTAATTGCTGCTCAACCAGTGGCTGAACATTTAGCTTTTCCTGTTTGAAGTTCATTTTAAAAGCCTTCAAGCATTGTAGGTGGAATTATGTTCTTGGATAATGACTCTTTTTAGTTTCATATTTTTAAGGACACTAGGATGGTATAAACCTTTAAATCTAACACATAAAATCCTTCTCTCTCTCTGTGCTTCTGGGTGACTTTTTTGAATAGCTGGATTTTGCTGTGATGTGAGTGGTTGTTATTCCTCTGAGACTGAACTCCTTCAGAAGTCCACGTGCAAAATAACATGAAATCCAATAATTGCTAGCAATTAGTCTTAGCTCCTCCAATGGTGTGTATTGTAGAGGCTTGGAGTATGATTTGCTGAAAACTTTCAATCTGACAATTTGTCGTGATGTAAGCACCCTAAGAAATTACGCTTTGTCGAATAACATGTACAACACTTGTGTTTAGAAGTAATCACTAAGATAATAAATGAGCTTGGATAAATGTGTATTGGGGAGTTAATAAATTTCCCTTGCACTAAACATTTTCCAAGTTTTGGATCAAATTAGAAGTAATCATTTATTTTTCTATCGTAAGTTGCCAAACTTAAAGTGAACGTATTTGATAGTTCTAGCAAACCAGGAAGTTGAGTGAATACTTGACCATGATTGATTCCTTTCCTGCTTGTTGATATTGTGGATGCTGCATGATGCTAAAACAGTCATTTAATGCTAGCTTTTAAATTGCTTTTGGGATGAGGTAAACCACATCAGAGATTGCAAGATTTTCCTGGGCTACTTTTGACAATTAGGGTAAGGGCTTTTGCTTTTCAGCAAAATCCAGCCCATTATAACTTCAGTGTTCAAAATTTTGTAATGTACTGTGATGAAACAGTTTGTGTGAATTTGTGTAATCATGCCTGACTGTAACGAATAAGCTGTATGTAATGCCACTTCAACTTTAGAACATTATTTCCTCTGACCACAAACTATGCCATAAATCAGTTTCTGTATCTTCACTTTTTTTCAATTCTTAATAGGCCTCCATCAACAAGAATGTTCCCATTTACCAGAACAGCATAAATAAAGATATTGATGTACACATTGACCAGGAAAATTTTCTGCCTGAAGACATGTAAGCATCTACAGGTTTTTTCTGTTTTTAGAGAGACTTGGGTTTGGTTCATTTCCATCTGTTGAAAGTAGTATTTTTAAGCAAATCATGTGGCTAACAAAAATGGGAATTAGTCTAACCTTGCTGTGTGATTCAATCCACTGGCAGTTCTCATAATCCAACTTATTAATATTCCAGACTTCTACTTTCACATTTTGAAGTGGATTTGTATAATTTTCAAAAATATAAAGTCTTTCTTTATAAACTTCCATTAAGGTCAGCAGCCCAATGTTGCCCATTTTCATTTGTTGGATTCTTAGTCTTGGATTGGTAAGATACAAGTTGTATTCCTACAGTTGAACATCCATTTGGGCTTTCAGCTGAGATGCTGCTTAGCAGCAGAGTACTCAATCGCTGAAAGTGTAAGAGATAGTAGGAACTGTTGATGCTGGAGTCTGAGATAACAAGGTGTAGAGCTGGATGAACACAGCAGGCCAGGCAGCATCAGAGCAACAGGAAAGCTGACGTTTCGGGTCTGGACCCTTCTTCAGAAAAGTTTTT